TAAAGTTTACGAACACCCTGGTCACCCACGTGATCTTAAGTGACTCTCCAAGTGGCCTATGTGTCTAAAATGGAAATGATCTCTTCAGAATGGATTACATCAGAGAAGAATGAAGCACTTCCCACTGTTCATGGGATACTCCAGAGGAGCAATGTTGGCTCCATGCTGTAAATACCCATCTCTTCAATGAGGAGGCTTTTGATTACAAAGCCTGGGGGGGTCCTGCAATCATGACCCAAAGCAAAATGGGAAGTTGACCTGGGGGATCATCCACTGAGGCCCTGGAAGGGACTCCATTTACATGAAGACTCTGTCAGTTGCCAGCAGTACCTTCTCTAATTGTGTGCACCACCCAGTGAAGAGAATAGTTCTGGTACAAGAACGCCTTAGGTAATTTATTTCCACCATGGGACTTTAGAGATGCCTGTATGCTCAGTGAGAGGCATCTAAGGCATCTTGGAGAAGGACTGTGGGGAGGGGGACACTAATGGAATGTTATTTCAAAGATTCTGGAGCCTTTTGTTTCCCAGTTCAACCTAAGTCAATTTCTAAGTGTCAGGTGAGTAAGTAAGCAAGCAGCTCTGATAAATTTAAGATTTACCAGATGTCAGAGTGTCACTGTGGCTGACAGAATGTGCCTATGACATGGTTTTTACCACTGCTTCTGTCACCCTTTCAGCTCAGTCCCCTCCTGTTGCATCAGAGAAAATGTGCAGTAAGACATGTGTGGATTTCTAAAGACTTTTCCAAGTCAGCAGGCACAGAGTAGGCTTGAGCTGGGAAATGAAGAGCTGGAGATGGTCTATGGATGGCACCGAAAACAACTGATGCTAATGCACATGGATGAGGATGTCCCCAGGCAGATTCTGCTTGGGATACTTTGTTTACGTTTCTGACCTCAGAATTTCCAAAGATCTGTCCACGAACCTGACTTAAACTCAAAGCAAAGTCTGGGAGCCCTCTCACTTCACTCTTAGTTATGAGTCTGAGCTGAAGGCAGGTGCAGCCCTAGGGGGTGTTTTCTCAAACAAGCCGGGGTTGCAAGAAAGGCCCGTTGAGGACTGAGTCCTTCATCTCAGTCCTGCAATCTTCCTAGGAAGGATCCCACAGTGGTGGAAAGGTTTGACCACATAAAAATGCAGGTTCAGGAGACCTTGACATTCTTCTAGCATATGAAAGCAATTATAATATTCACTTTCTAATAATTACGTATATAACATATATAAAATACTTAAGTGCTCTCATGAGTTTTCAGAAATGTTAGGAATACTGCCATCAAAAGGTGAAAAAAATCCCATCACCTCAGAAGAACAATCCTGTGGTGTCCATTTGAACGAAACCCTTCCAATTCATAAGTTCACACTTAAAAAAAAAGGGAAGAGATTCTGTTCCCTTTGCTTTTTTAAACCTTGAAGCTGTTATTGCTCTTCCCCAATTTTCCACACCACGTGCTGGACGTCTAAGCATATAGAAAGGAAACCTGTGATCAGCTAGCTACCTGGGCTCCGGGGCTTTCTGGATCATTGAAATTAAAGACTCCAAGCCACTCCTGTGATGAAAAGATGTTGAAAATTTCCCATGTCTCCTCTTACACTCAATTAGGATGTTACTAAAAATCATACCTTCTCTCCCCAGCTCACTCAATTATTCCTGGGATGGTTGCATCTAACCAGCCAGAGCTCTTTGTGCTGTTTCCACAGGGAGATCACAGCAGACTCGCAGAGATGTCACTCTACCCATAGAACTCACTCAGGATGAGCTAGAACAAGGCAGGTGAAGGCAACTGTCTCTCTAAGTGGGAGGAACTCCATGGTTTACTGGAGTGCATGTTGCACACTCCAGTCTGTAGAGCAGCAAAACGAAAATGCCAAAAACGATAACATTTTAAATATTTGATGGTAATATAAAAATCCTCTCAAATGACATTAAAAACTAAAGACAACACAAATACCTGTGGCTTAGATCAATAGGAAGTCTCAAGTGTCAATAACAATAATAATGACATCCTCCCTCACTCCTACCCTCATAGAAAAGATATAAACACAACTCAGCCTATTAGCTCAATGCTATTTTTAAATTTTCTTCAAAGGCCTTCCTTCTATTCTACAAAACAAAGCTTCACTGCATCCATCACTTCTGCTTTTCCACAAACATGGAAGCACCAGGACTGCCAGGACTTGTCTGTTTCATGCTCTGTATTCAGATCCCACTGTCTCAGCTCTGCTACAGTGTGTACACTGACTCCACACTGCACGGCTTGTGAGGGACGCTGACTGTACCAGCAAGAGCACAGTCTCAGAGAAGGAAAGGCTTCAGAGTGGCACAGTGGTCGTATTTCCCTGGCTGGGTCTGCACTGTCTCACAATTTACCTAAACTCAAAGGCCTCAGCTAAGTCTAAAGGAGATATTGAAAATATTATGGAGGATGCTAAGAAGAGAAGTTATGTATTTCAGTGAGGTACATCACAGTAAACAGTGTGTAATTCACCATAGGAAATACATCGGTGTTTAGACTGTAAGTAGGAAAGGCAAAGCTGTTCCAGAGGACCAGGAGCTGGCTGAATCCACTGCAAGGCCAAGTCTTACTTTGCTGAAGAGAAAAGTGTCCGACAGCTTGGTCATTAAAAGAACACAGTTTCCAAGACAAAACTAACAGTATTTTGTGACCATACAGGTAAAAATGGTAAAGGATAAAAGTCCAAATCATAAATGACTCTTTTCCTTCTTCTTACTAAAATGACTCACTGGAACTTAAAAATTAACTTACCTTCACTACATTCTTTTTGCCTTCTAGAAAACAATGATTCACTTCACAAAAAAAAAAGTTTACAAGAGACAGAATTAAGTTTACCTTCTCACATCATTGAAGACAGAAAATAACCTGCCTCCTTGAATAGCAGTCCAACCCACAAACAGAGACCAAAATATTGTATGAAGTCCTTCAAGCACCATTACTGTTACACCTCATGGTCCTCTGGGGGTGGTCATTCTTAGTAGAATTCCTTACACCCCTCTCTGACGGCAGGTGCAATCCTGTAGGTCACTGGAAGAGGGCACTGAAGAAAAACATGGTGGTTACTTTTTGGATTAAAAATGAATGAGAAATTATTTTCATGACAAAAATTATAACTGTAAAAGAATAAGAAATACAGGTTGCCTGATGAAGAAATACCTGAATTGGTCCACACATGATAAAATTGACTCAAAATGTATAATGATTAAATGAAAAACATTGCAAAGTATATCTGAAAATCCATAATCAAAAATGGATATTAATAGTCAGTAAAAATGAAATCCACAATAATATTTATTAACATAGGATGGACTGGAACAGTTGATAAGAAATATCAATGAAACAACTAGAGAAGTGTTCATTTCACAAACAGATGGAAGTAGTTTTATTGACATACACTCAAAGGTCATTGACAACACATAGAGGGAATACATTCAAGCTACAAGTAACAAGAAACACACACAGTCTTCCCAGCATGAGAAAGGTGATTGTTATCACATGGAAGAACTGGGTCAAGGCAGCTGCTGCACCAGAAGCAAAGAAACAAACTTGCAGGTGCTTATTTTGATGCCCTATTGGAGATGCCACGGTGAAGGATGAAAATGTACTCACTAGCACTATCAACAGCAAAGCTGTTTCCTATACACATCAGACCGTATTCAATTATCATCTAGAGAAAAGGGGAATCACAGACTACTTCCACCCACAAAGGTCTGAATTAGCTTCCTGGTGGACACAAGAGGCCTTACAGAAAGATCCTAACTCCAATGGATCTTTGATGTGAAACTGGTGGAAAATGCATCTCTAACAAAATGGAAATCAACTAATTATTGATGGTTTTCAAGATACTCTTGACAAGAAGGGTGAAGAATCCAGAAAAAGGGATGGAAAATGGTGTCCTTGAAGCTCCTATGGAACTGGCTCCCTCCCTGTGTGGTGGCTCGAAAATCTGCCTAAGGCCTTGTGTGCTTCTGCCTTCCAGATCTCACACAAGTGAGGCCATTGGGGAATTCCAACAAGGAACCATCAATGGGACGGATTCTTAAAGATCTAGCTCTTCAGATTACCCTCACTGACATAATGCAGTACAGGGGTGATGTGCTCAGCTCTAGATTTTGTTGCCCTGCCACAGGCCTCTACTTAATTCAAAGTCTATTCACCAAATACCAGTCAGAAGGAAGGACAAACAGCAAAGGCCCAAATGGGAAAATAAGAATTCACAGGAAGTACACTCTTGGATAAACTTGCCATGAATAGAATTTTTCCCAACTGTTTAACAGTACAGAAAATAAAAACAGGCTCCTCCACCCACCACCCCCAGAAAGGAGTCTTCTCTGAAACATGTACAATATGTACAATGGATGAGGCACATGCAGGAACTGTAAATACAAGGCCAGTAAGAAAATCACAACAAATACAAACTGTCATGTTTCAATACCCCGTTCACACAGAACAATTAAAACATTATAAAAAAAACTAAAGATAAAAAATTTACTGATTTAAGGGAAATGCACTACCTATGAATCTTATTTACTATTTATGAAGGATGACTAGCAGAATCATCTCACCTCAATATTCATTTCTGAAGTAATTAATAGAAATCCACAGTCTAATGTTGCACTTTAAGAAAGGCTTGACAAATAACATATTTACCACTTGGATAGCGACTCTTTCCTGTTGAAAGCTTTCTAGAACCTCATGTACAAATTAATTTCCATGAAGCTTTCTCATATGACTTACGTTTACATTTCCTTTTGGTGGGAGTTTCACATAAAAGGGTGTAGGCCAACTGAACTCTTTCTCATGCTCTCAACATTCAAGATGTTTTTATCCAATGAGTCCTTTCTGCCTTCAAGAAAGAAGTGGCGGGTCCGGCCCCATGGCCGAGTGGTTAAGTTTGCGCACTCCGCTGCAGGTGGCTCTGTGTTTCGTTGGTTCAAACCCTGGGCGCGGACATTGCACTGCTTATCAGACCATGCTGAGGTGGCATCCCACATGCCACAACTAGAGGAACCCACAACAAGGAATATACAACTATGTACAGCTGGACTTTGGGGAGAAAAAGGAAAAAAATAAAATCTTTAAAAAAAAAAAAAAGAAGAAAGAAGTGGGATAAGAAAAGTCCCAAATTGTTTATATCCACCTGGTTTTACCTCTAGTGTGTGTTTGTGCATATCCTCAAACATTTGCATGAGAACTAAAGCTTTTCTCACTTTCCTCACATTCTTAGGCTTTCTCTCCAGTGTGACTTCTTAAATGGACTCGAAGATATTTGGAAGCAGTGAAGGCTTTATTGCATTCTTTACATTCATAGGGCTTCTCTCACCTGTGAGTTCTTTCATGTATTTGAAGAGAACTGGAACAAGTGAATGCTTTACTGCAGTTTTTACATTCAAAGGGTTTCTCTCCAGTGCATTCTTTACATTCATAGGGCTTCTCTCACCTGTGAGTTCTTTCATGTCTTTGAAGAGAACTGGAAGAAGAGAATGCTTTATTGCAGATTTTACATTCATATGGTTTCCCTCTTGTGTGCGTTCTTTCATGTGTTGAAAGAGAACTGGTAGAAATGAAGGCTTTACCACATATTTTACATTCAAAGGGTTTTTCTCCAGTGTGACTTCTTTCATGGACTCGAAGATATTTGGAAGCAGTGAAGGCTTTATTGCATTCTTTGCATTCATAGGGCTTCTCTCCACTGTGAGTTCTTTCATGTATTCTAAGAGAACTGGAACAAGTGAATGCTTTACTGCAGTTTTTACATTCAAAGGGTTTCTCTCCAGTGTGAGTTCTTCCATGTCTTTGAAGAGAACTGGAAGAAGAGAATGCTTTATTGCAGATTTTACATTCATATGATTTCTGTCTTGTGTGCGTTCTTTCATGTGTTGAAAGAGAACCGGTAGAAATGAAGGCTTTACCACATATTTTACATTCAAAGGGTTTTTCTGCAGTGTGACTTCTTTCATGGACTCGAAGATGACTGGAACAAGCAAATGCTTTACCACATATTTTACATTCAAAGGGTTTTTCTCCAGTGTGACTTCTTCCATGGACTCGAAGATGACTGGAACAAGCAAATGCTTTACCACATATTTTACATTCAAAGGGTTTTTCTCCAGTGTGACTTCTTTCATGGACTCGAAGATGACTGGAACAAGCAAATGCTTTACTGCATTTTTTACATTCATAGGGTTTCTCTCCAGTATGAGTTCTTTCATGAAGTCGAAGAGAACTGGAAGAAGCGAATGCTTTAATGCATCTTTTACATTTGTAGGGTTTCTCTCCAGTAAGAATTCTTTCATGTTTTTGAAGACAACTGGAAGAACTGAATGCTTTACTGCATGTTTTACATTCATAGGGTTTCTCTCCAGTATGAGTTCTTTCATGAAGTTGAAGACAACTGGAAGAAGTGAATGCTTTACTGCATTTTTTACATTCAATCGGTTTCTCTCCAGTATGAATTCTTTCATGTCTTTGAAGATAACGCCAACAAGTGAATGCTTTACTGCATTTTTTACATTCATAGGGTTTCTCTCCAGTATGAATTCTTTCATGTCTGTGAAGATGACCGGAAGAAGTGAATGCTTTACTGCATTTTTTACATTCATAGGGTTTCTCTCCAGTATGAGTTCTTTCATGAAGTTGAAGACAACTGGAAGAAGTGAATGCTTTACTGCATTTCTTACATTCATATGGTTTCTCTCCAGTATGAATTCTTTCATGTCTGTGAAGATGACCGGAAGAAGTGAATGCTTTACTGCATTTTTTACATTCATAGGGTTTCTCTCCAGTATGAGTTCTTTCATGAAGTTGAAGACAACTGGAAGAAGTGAATGCTTTACTGCACTTCTTACATTCATAGGGTTTCTCTCCAGTATGAATTCTTTCATGAAGTCGAAGATGACTGGAACAAGTAAATGCTTTACTGCATTTGTTACATTCATATGGTTTCTCTCCAGTATGAATTCTTTCATGTCTTTGAAGACAACTGGAAGAAGTGAAGGCTTTACTGCATTTTTTACATTCATAGGGTTTCTCTCCACTATGAGTTCTTTCATGTCTTTGAAGTAAACTGTGATAAGTGAAGGATTTCCCACATTTCTTACATTTATATGGCTTCTCTCCATATTTTTGATACTCATATGTTTTATGTTCAGTGTGACATCTAATGTGCGCATTAAGGGATGAGTGATGCATGAAGACTCTTCCACATGCACTGCATCCAAATGGTATAGCTCCTGTAGTTTTCTTGTTCAGACTGAGATTTGGAAGAAGGATGAAGTTTTCTCCACGCTGACTATCCTCTTCACTTTCACAGAGTCTCCCTACCCTGTGCTTTCTGTAAAAATGACAAGGATATCATTAATGATTTCTCTATTAATGATTTTATATTTATGTTTATTATGATTGATAGGAAATGTTTATGTTTTCTCCCTTCTGTGAATTCTCTGTAATTAAATATACTGAATTTCCTGAAAGAGGACTTCACCCTTATTTTCCAAACAGTGATATTCATAGATAAGGTTCACTAATACTATTTCTAAGTGAAATATTCTGCAAAAATTGAACCTCTGGATCACATTTCAGAAAGTATATTTGGTGAAAATTTTCTAAGAATAGCTAAATTTGAAACAAGGGTTATTTGTTTTGTTTTTTCTATTTTAAAACAATTTCTTAACATACAAGGATTCTCACATGAGACAGAGCTTTCTATTGTGTGACTCACCTTACTTTTCTCCCCTGGTCTTTGTACTGATCTTGAAGATCACAGTCTTCCCATGTTATTCCTGAAATGCAGACCCACAAAGTTTATTCCAAATATTAAAAATTAGACAAAAATTTCTAGATTCTAAGTCTATGCTAATCTATGGCCATTTCTACTTTATTTACTAACAACCTCCCCTTTCCACATTCTACATCTTAGAACACTGATGATGGGCAAAAACCAGTTGTTCTCTAATTGATGACGTGAAGGAATGTCCTCACTCTTACCTACTGAGACCAGGTGCCTGAAGGTTTCCCACATTACATCTCTGTAGAGTTTCTTCTGTGGGGGATCCAGTAAAGCCCACTCCTCTGGGGTGAAGTTCACAGCCACGTCCTCAACGGCCACTGAGTCCTGAAACACCACAAATGTGTATAGAGTAGGATACATGAGCCTGACAGCACTGGGGATCTACAGTGCAATTCTAGGAAGGTTAGATGGGATTCTATTATCTCCAAACATTTATTCTATGTGTGATCATCACAAGCTCCCTCTTTTCTATACACAATGCTCATCAATTTAACAATATTGTCAACACACGGAAATACACATTTTCACTGTGATCACATTCCATCTGATTTCTCTCTAAGAACAAGTTCCAGAACATGTTGGGAAATGACTCAAATGCTATACAAATGAAACACATATCATTTGTGGACCAATGATTCTTCGTAAGAAAACTTCTTTCATGTTCTTCCATATTACCCACAGGTTACAGCACTCCATGAGGCAGAGGGTGAAATCTATGGGATGTTTCAGTGAATAAAAACATAGTGCACAGGGCTGGCCTGGTGCTGCAGAAGTTAAGTTTACATGTTGTGCTTCTCGGTGGCCCGGGATGCACCAGTTCGGATCCTGGGTGTGGACATGGCACCACTTGGCACGCACAGCTATGGTAGGCATTCCACATATAAAGTAGAGGAAGATGGGCACGGATGTTAGCTCAGGGCCAGGCTTCCTCAGCAAAAAGAGGAGGACTGGCAGTAGTAAGCTCAGGGCTAATCTGCCTCTAAAAAAAAAAGAAAACAAAACATAGTGAAGAACTGGAAGCTTTTTGATCTGATCCAATCACCAAACTGAGAGTCCAGGAGGCCTGTGAAATCACACTTTGACCAAGCCCAGCTGCCCACATTGTCCTAAACTACTCCAGGCCATTACACATAAGCAGATGCAGCTGGCTGAATGTAAATATTCTCGTGGCGAAACACTGCTTTTGACTTGTGTAATATCTATCATAGACTCAGTTCTACCTTTCTCACTCTGGATGATTTGATGGGGCTGGAATTATTATGAACTGAGAGCTCAGGCACAAGGAAGAAGCCATGAAAACTTAGACCATAAGATCACTATACTTATGCTCCTGAAAGCTACTTCTCACCAATTTTAGCACACATTGTGAGATAATAAACTGCCACAAGAGCTCCTTCTGGTCAAATGCTAACTGTGTACCAGAGCTTTGCTCCCCTTGAGGAGTAGGTTAAGAGCTGCAGAAAGGGGCCAGCCCCGTGGCTGAGTGGTGAAGTTCACGTACTCCACTTTGGAAACCCAGGGTTTCACTGGTGTGGGTCCTGGGTGTGGACATGGCACTGCTCATTAGGCCATGCTGAGGTGGAATCCCACACAGCACAACCAGAGGCACTCACAACTACAATATACGACTATGTATTGGGGGATCTGGGGAGAAAAAGCAGAAAAAAACCCACAGGTGGATTGGCAACCATTGTTAGCTCAGGTGCAAATCTTTAGGAAAAAAATCAAAAGAGCTGCAGATTGCAAGGGAGATCCTTGAAGTACACAATGGTTTGATGTTAAATTTGCCCATGTTTATAAAATACATGAAGGATTTAACAGTGGTTTCCTCCAAAACAACATAAAATTTCCTTTGTCAAACTTCAAGAGGAAGTGTTTCCTGACCAGCCACTCTGGATGATGCCCTGCCAACTTCTGATCCTGTGCCTAAGGAGCTTAGAAACTGTCATTCTTGATCTCACAAGAAGAAAATGAACAAACTTGAGATGAACAACCCTTCTTAGATCCAGGAGAGCCTTGAGGTCCCAGGACAAACCAGAGTCTCCAAACTTGGGAAAGACAAAAAAAAAAGATGGCATTTTGAAATATGCCCCACATACTCTGTTCTTAATAAGGCCTGTACTAAAGAAAAAAAAAATCTATTTCCCCAGAGTCCAATGCAAGGGCAAAAATAACAAAAAAGACAGAACACAATTTCCACGAAGCCTAGGACAAGCCTCTGTAAATGAAGGCTCAAAATACAGATAATGGGAATACTTCAAGGAAAAGAGACAGAAGAAAACATCAAGTAATAATCACCAAATTACTCTAAAATTTATGATAGCCAGCACACTGTCCATCCAGGAAGCTCATGGAACACTAAACACGATAAAGTTCAGAAGTGCACACCCAAGGGTATCACCCTGAAACTAGAGAAACATCACAGAGAATGTGCGGAAAAGTACCAGAGAAGAAACACACCTTCAACAGAAAGAAACAAAGATTTGAATTAAATTGGACCACTTCTCAAAAACCATGCAACAAGAGCAGAGGAGACTGAAAGAATTAAAGAGTTGAAAATAAAACTCACTTTCCTAGAATTCGGTCAAGGAAAATTATCCTTCAGTACAAAGAAGAAATAAGGACTTTCTGAGACAAAATTTGAGGAAATTTGTCCCAAGTACACATACTTGGAATGAAATTGTTGGAAAGTTTATCAGAAAGAATGTAAATGATAAAGGTAGGGGATTAGAAGAAGAAAAGATGAGGGAACATATCTCTTATGTTTCTTATAATTAATACAACAGATGACACTTTATTTAAACTACTGTCAGGAAGAATGAACTTGGTAATGAGAAGCTAATGGACAAGAGACACAAATGACAGCAATGTCACAAGACACAGGGAAAGGAAAATTGGGGGCAGTGTGTTAAGAGGTACTTGCACACAGTGAAGTGGCACAGTGTTACTCGGCAGAGAGGTGGGTTAGTTGTAAATGTATGCTGAAATCTCAAGGGCAACAACAAAAATGTGTCTTTTAAAAAATGTGTAACTGATATGTTAAGAGAGGGGAAAAAAAGAATTACAGGAAATGCTCAATTTTAACCAGAGAAGGTGGCAAAAAAGTAGAAGACAAAAACAAACAAGGGTAAAAATGGAAAAACTAAAATTTTGGTAAATATTAATCCAACTGAATCATTAACCTCTTTAATCATCAATGGTCTCATTACAACTGAAAGACACAGTAATAGAGTTCAAAAAATTCCACTGTATGCTGTCTACAAGAAGCCCACTCTAAGTATAAAATCAGAGAGATGAAGGGTAAAGGGATGGAGAAAAACAGACCATGCCAACACGAGTCCAAAGGAAGCTGCCAGAGGAATAGACATCATAGACAATGCAGATTTCAAACTGAGGAAAATGCCGAGATAGAGGGGCAGCAGGTACGGATAAAGGGGCCTATTCTCTGAGAAGGCACAGCAACGCTGCATGTGTACCTGCCTAACAACAGAGGGGCAACACACCTCAGGGAGGAACTGACCGAATGCAGGAGAAAGAGACAAATCCAGTACCACAGCTGTAGAAGTCAACACCTCCTCATCGAGAATTAGACATTTCAGTAGGCAGGAAGTGAGGAAGGACAGACGTGCAATGAACAGCCCTGCGAAACTGCTGGGTTTCATTGTAATCTGCGAATACTTCACAGAACAGCAGAATATACATTCTTCTCAGGTTCACACGGAACATTCACCAAAACAAACCACACCTTGGGACATAAAGCACACCTTAACAAATTTGAAAGAACAGAAATCATACAAAATAGGCTCCCATACCACATAGGCATTCCTCTAGAAGGCAATACCAGCAATAGTTGAAAACCCCCTAAAGTGTGGTGATTCAAAAATACACTTCTTGATAATACATAGTATGAAACTAGAAGTCTCAAGAAAAACTAAAAATTATTTTGAATTAAAAACAGGAAAACACAACATAGCAAATGTTGTTGGATGTAGCGAAAGCAGTATCCAGGGGGAAATCCATGCCATCAAACAAATACACTGGAAAAATCAAAGATCTCTAATCACTCATGCAAGCATGCACCTTAGCAAAGAATAAAAAGAAGAGCAAGTTAAACCCACAGCAAGCACAATAAAAGAAATAATAAAATAAGAAAGGAAATGAATGTCATTGTGGGAAATCAATGGAGGAAATGAAAAAAGTTGCTTGTTTCACAAAACCAACAAAATTGAGAAATATGCACTCAAGATAACAAAGGGAAGAGAGGGACGACACAAATTAGTAATATCAGAAAGGAAAGGAGGGGAAATGAACATAAAATAAGATTTGAGAAAATGCAATATCTATTTATGATAAACCAGTAACAGAGGAGAACTTCCACTTCTTGAGAAAGAACACCTTCACAAATCCTGTAGCTGAATTCTCGGGGTTTGTTTCATATGACTGTCTTTATGCAACAACTGGAAGAACTCACAATGACAGAAACGACTCCTGGGATTAATAAGAGAGTACAGCAAGTTTGCTTTCCTTCTAGACCCACAGGAATAGAGTCAACTGATCTTTGACAAAGAAGGAAAGGAGATTCAAATGAAAAAGCAAACATTTTAAGCAACAGTGGGAGAACTAATGGATATCCACGTGCAAATACACACACACAAAACAAATGGAGACAGGCCTCACACTTTTCATGAAAATTAAGTCAAAACACATCACAGATCTAAATGTAAATTGCCAAAGGAATAAGCTCCTACAAGAGAACACAGAAGAAAATCTGGATGACCTTGTGTTTCTTGATGAATTTTCACATAGAAAACCAAAAAGCAAGGTCCACAAAAGAAAAAACAAAAAATTTTACAATTTTAAGTCAAACGAAAAACTCCTCCTCTGAAAAAGATGGAGTAAAGAGAAGATCAACAAATTCAGAGTAAGAGAAAATCTCTGTAAAACATTTATTGGTTAAATGGTTGGTATCTGAAATATGCAAAGAATTCTTAAACTGTAATAGTAAGAGAAAAAACATGCAATTAAAAAATGGGCAAAAGATCTGCAGACAGCTCACTGAAGGAGAGATCTAGATGGGAAATAAGCAAAATGAAACATGCTCCACATCAAATGTCATTAGGAAATTGCAAAGAAAACAACAGTGGGCAGCTCTAGACACTTATGAAATGGGTAAAAGTCAAAATATTCAGAACAGCAAATATCAGTGAAGATGCAAAGCTACAGGGAATCCTAGTTCATCGCGGGTGGAAATGGGATTTGGAACACCCACACTGCAAGACCGGAACCTCCTTTCAGAATAAGATACACTGTCACTACACAGAGTAAGAGACAGCAATCACGCTCCGTGGTATTTTCCCAAATGAGCTGAAACCTTATGTTCGCACAAAACCTACATAAGAATGTTTAGAAGCACTTTATTCATAATTGGCAAGAGTTAGAATTTTCAACAAGATGTCCTTCAAGTATCGAACAGTCAATCAGTGGTGCATCCAAACAATGAAACACCATCCAATGATAAAAAGAAGTGAGGTATCAAGAAATGGAAACACACGGAGGAACCTTAAAAGACAGTTCTTAAGTAAAGAAGCCAATGTGACAAGGCTATGTAGTGTATGATTCCAAGTATATGACATTCTGGAAAAGACAAAAGTATGAGGCACTAGAAACATCTTTACTTGTGAAAGATTTGGAGGTTGGAGGGAGGGACGAGTCAATAGGTGGAGAACAGGGGAGTTTCAGGAAAGTGAAACTACACTCCATGATACAGAAATGATGTGTCCACGTCATTACACATTTGTGAAAACACACACAGTGTGTAACA